GCAGTGAGCCGGCGCTAACAGCATCCAAACCTTTATTGACAGCTTCACTTTGTTACGTATACGCAGTGTTGTCCCGATGTGGGTTTGGTTATTGAAATATCCCTTCAGTAAAGTTTTTTTTCGTTTAATTACTTTAAAAAAATCTTTCCTCCTTATGACAATTGTCCCAAATAATTTTTTCCTCGAAAGGATAAATATCTTATTTTTTCATTGGATTTATTAAAAATGCTTATTAATTAGATTTGTTGTTTATTGTATTTTAATTTATTATGAAACGAATATAAAAAATATTCAAATATTCAAAATTAAATAATAATAATAATATTAATAATAATAATAATAATAACAACAACAATAATAATAATAATAATAATAATAATAATAATAATAATAATAATAATAATAATAATAATAATAATAATAATAATAATAATAATAATAATAATAATAATAATAATAATAATAATAATAATAATAATAATAATAATAATAATAATGAATTAAAACTTCTACTTTATACATGAATTTGATGTTTATTTTTTCCATTGTTTATAATAAATTCTAGGCATTTCAATTGTCGGCTTTTATATACTATCACATTTTTAACGACAAAAACCGTTAAATAATAGTACTACCCATAGAGCTAAATATACTAAAATAAGTATGAAAGATGCTGATTTGTTTACATTTCTGAGTGTTGACCTTTTGGATGAATTAAAGAAACTGCGCAAAAATTTAAGTACTTAAAAAAAATTTTCACTCGCATAGTTATGAGTGTATAAATTGAATTTTGACATTTTAATTTAAAAGCAGGTAATTCATAACTGAGTAAAATATTTTTATAGCTTTCATGAACATGAAATCGTTATTAACTTTGTTCTGAAGTAAGAAAATACTAAACGGAGAGAGGTTACCGAGCGTATCAAAATTACGAGCTAAGTTGATTTAGCCACGCCCGTCTGTTTGTAGTCAAAGTAGGCTATTAGTTTTTGGGGTTTTTCCCATCGAACTTGGTGCACAAATGCTCTGGCACATTCAAAGGATTACTTGTCGCCAACAGCCAGTTCGGAGCACTTTAACATGTATATATGCGACCAGTTTTTAAGATTTGAGATTTTAGATTATAAATCTGTGAGAAAAGGCATCTGAGATCACGAAATTTTTGTAACCAGAGATCAGAAAGAAACCGAAATATTAATAATCAAAAATCGCTTATCGCAATATCAAAATATTCTCCATTAAGATCTTTACAATTTTGCATGCGTTTGAACCAATTGTCGAATCAACTTTCCCACTCTAATTTAGCTATTTCCAAAACATGCATCCGAATGCCCCAGTTGCCTCTTTAGGTGTCGCAAAATCATCGTGGTTTTGAGTTTGTGGAAACTTAGTTGTTTCAAGTGATCCATCTTCGACATTTCTTGCAATTTAAACATTTATTGAAGGGCTTCGGCACGAAACACTTTTGCTGGATTAGTCTCAGCCTCGATTGAATTGAACATACGATCGATAGACACCGAACTTTGATGCAGCTTCATCGCCAAAAAATGAATTAAATTCAGCGATGTACTGCTGCTAAGTTAATCTACGTCAAAAGTTGCAAAAAAAAAAATCGCCCAAAAATGTCAGCGATCTCATACCATTTTTTGGCAGATTTGAATTTAAATTACTGTAAGCAACACAAATATCGTTCGTATAGCAAAACATGCTGATTATGTATGACATCAAAAATGAAATTTACGATAAAGTTGTGAGTTGTCAGATTCCACGACGAGGGTTGCCAAATTTCACAATATAAAAGGCACCTTCGTTTAGCGTCATCCAACCAAATTTTCAGTTCAGAGAATTAATATTTAATACTTAAATGAAATAACATGAATTTGTTATGGCTTTGAAGGGTATAAAAAATTCGGCATGGCCAGAGACAACCATCAATTCTTCTTTCATGTTCTTAAATAAATTTATGGTTATATCACCGTTAGCCCTTTAATTTATTTTTATGACAAAATACCTTGCAAATAAGAAGGGATAATTTTGAAAACTCTTCTACTTATTAAACATCAAATTATTTTTACCATGACATCCCCATTCTAATGTGTGGGGGCATTTGAATTAAATTTCATTGGCGTTTCATTGACTCAAACAGATGGGCTTTGAAAGAAAATAATTTACTTAGATTCGTTGTTTGAACTTTAGCGTTGCAGACGATGTATTGATTAGATTACATTGAAGTCACTTTAATAATAATTTGGAGGAGAAATATTTTTACTTGTTTAAACCATTTTTTTTCTTAATTTTTTTTTTTTAAAGCCTAACGGCAAATGGAACAGAGCGGGTTAGAAGAATTCTTACAAATCTCTTACTCCGATTATTTAATCCGATTGGCAAACCATTAGTTTTCATTGAGAGCTAAAAAAAGTACTCAGTTCAGTACCTTCCAAGGTTGACTCAAAGTGTTTCCATTACGTCTTTGGCTGCTACATGATTGAAACCAAATCTGGGTTTACAAAAATCAGCTGCACAACTGAATATCACTACGTGAGAAAGAATTTACCAAGTCGTACTTAATATAAGTATTGATAGCAAAACGCCTCCGCTGTAAGTCCACAAGACATTTTTCTACCAATTTTGTACATCAAACTGAGCATTAACAAGAACTTTGTCAGAGCATTCAATCGTTTAGGATCGTCCTTTTAGTATTTAATCAAGTTGTTTTCCAAATTATCATACTCGAAAAACAAAAAATATATTATATAATATATATATATGCTGCAATAGCCGAGTGTTTTGCACTGTGAACTGCTCTCTGAATGCTAGGATTCGAGTCCTGGTTTGACGAAATTTTTAGAAAGTTAATTTTTCTTATTGCGGTCGCCTTTCAGCAGGGACCAAGATCTAGCCAACATGAAAGGTGATACGAAAAATTTTAGAATGAAGGCATGATGAGGGACTATCGTTGGGCTCTAAGTACTTGAAATAGATCAAAAGCAATACAAAATACTCAGTTCAACCCCTCTTCGTTTCTGATTAGTTTATTTTCTAAATAGATAAAAATGAAATCTGGGTTGCTGTGCAGTTTGGATTCTATAGAAAGATCTTTCCATTTGTGATTCTGAAATATTTATATATAATATGTTCATACAGAAAATTGTTGTGGAATTTCTTTTTTTTTCATTTCTCCGTTCTTCCTTTCTTTATTTTACTTTCGGAAGTTTCTGTATTTTTTGAAATTAAAGTCGGTTACAAAGATTTATGGAAAATATGAAAGATATGTAAAAATCTGAATCTACGAATATGAACACAGCATAATCGATAGGTTGCTGTCTCAACAAAAAAGCGGATAGTAGTAGATTAAATTAAAAAAAAATATACCTGAAATAAACCCGAAAAATATGCTTCGAGTTATTTGAAAATTAACAAAAAACTCACGTTCACGTTCACGTCCGACCGTAGGAAACCTTATTTTTTTAATCATCGAACAGTGAGTAAGCCCCAGGGAGAGATCAGAATCGTTTTATATGGAAATGTCGACACGAATAAAATATTTTGAAGCTGCAAGTTTTGAACAGCTAATTATCACGATTTCTAAAAAATGAAAAGTATTTTCAGCATAAAGAAACAATTTTTTATTCTCAGCATCTTATAAAGTGGCTGTTTTGAATGCTGGTTACAGGTGATACTCGTAATAGTAGCAACAACGAAAAAATTAAAAACTATATAAGGTCACGTTCAAATTTTTCGTATTGTAGATTTCTGAGATAATTTTGTTTTTAATTCTCATTAAATTATCTTTGAAATTATGAATTTCGGGAATTTTGAATTTACTTCTGAAATAAAAAAAACATATATATTATTCATTATTGGATTAAACGACTCTTTGAAGCATTTCGATCAAGAAAATTAAAAAAAAAAAAACAATTTTTAAATTTTCAAAATTTTTTTGCTTTTCTTCTACCATTTTAATTGCGGTTTTTCTACTTATGCTTTTTTGCATAAGTATAGTATCTAAAACAATAAAAAATTACCTATAAATAATATGAACTCTTTAACAAATTACCATTTGCTTCCACTATAAATTATTTATTTAAAATTTGCTTAATTAGATTTACAGATTAAACATTAAATATATGCATACACATATATAATACTTTTGTCGAGTGGTGTATTCAAATAAATAGCTTAAGCGACATTTTTTGCTGTAATTTTTGGCAATAAATAAATCAATATATAATATATAAATGGAGAGTTGTAACCGCTGAAGCGATTCTCCGCCGAGCTCCTCCGCCAATTTGTGGTTTTGCGTCTTGATGTGTTTTCAACATATGGAAAGCCCTACAGTTTATACTAAGCCGCCTCCGAAGGGCTGTTGTTTTTTTTTACAAGGAACTTTTATTTCATATCAGAAATACACTCGGAGTGGTTGAAATTCCCTGCTGTGAGGCGACCGCAATTAAAAAAAATATATTCACTTAAAACTAAATTAAAAATTTTCTCGATTTCTACTAAAATTATTGAATGTAGAATGAAAAAAAAAAGAAAAAATTATTTTTTTTTTCTATTTTTTGCGTTCTAACTCATTCTCAATACATCAATCGTGGCAAATTTTGTTCTAGAAATTTTACTAATTCTTAAGTGGTTGCATTAACAATATTATTTTTTTTTTAATTTTTATTTTTATAAAAATAAAGTTCGCACAAAAATGTCATATGCTGGCATACAATATGTATGAACATAAAGTGTTTACTACGCCACCTTGAACCTCACTTACAACACCAAACGGCCGGTCACTGAACCGTCAATTAAGTGGTGCATTTAAGGTGTTGCTTTTTTTTCCAATTAACTCACTTTAGCAAACTCAAGTGACTAAGAAGACTTTTGCTGCACAATAATAGCCAACCATTTGCACAGACACTATAAGAATATATACGAGTAAATGCTCATATGTACATACGTGTATGTATGTATGGGTATGTAATGGGCATTTGCCGTTTGCTACTTACCGCAACATTAACGTATATTTACTATTCTTTGTCGCCTTTTTGCGCGCCAAAATGATCAACGCCAATGAATTGCCAATTACGCCGAGCATTAGTACAATACCGCTAAATAAGAAACGTCGTCGATTGTGATAGAGCGCCAGCGGTTGAGCCATAATGCTGGGCGTTGATTCGGTTGTACTATTCGCATTCCATGCGAAATCGTTTGTGGATTCTTCCACTTCAGTGGAGATCAAAGATAGAATACTTGAATTTTCCATGTTTGAATATTTGTTGTTTGTTTTTTGAACTATTATTATTTATTTAATTTTTAATTAATGTTGTTATTATTTTTTTATTATTATTATGAACTATTTGGCTTTTATTAATAATTTTTAATATTATTACTTTTTAATAATTAATAATAATATATTTTTTTTGTTTTTTATCTTTCATATTTTTTAACTTTTTTCTCTGCCTCTTAGTTAAAAAAAAGCGTTGCAAAAGCAGATGTGTCTGTTCTCAACCGGGTATCTTCGATGTATGTATGTATGTATATTGTTACTACTGTTTAATATTTTTATTTTAGCTTAATATACCGCAATAATGCGTACACAAAATGTCGCTTTAATTATTGTTTAAGTATATAATCCCATATTTATGTATGTAAATATGTCTAGTCGCAATAACACTAAAGTATTTTTAATCAAAATACTGTAGAATTGCACTGAATAAGCTCACCTTTGCACTGCCGGCTAATTTTTTTTTATGAATAACAATTTTTTTTTTTTATTTTTATATTTCTTTTTTTTAATTTTATTTTTATTTATTTTTTGCTTGTTGTTTTCTGCATAGTTGTCTGCTTGTTATAATTTTTTACTTAACTTTTTTGTATACTTTTTTTAAGGTTTTAACTTCGCTAAAAAATAATATAATTTTTGTTGTTTACATTCTCTTTTAATTATTTTTGTTTTGTATTTCTTGAGTCTTTAATTTAGCTCACCGATTTTTCAACTTTTCGCAATTTTTCTTGCATGTTTTGCTTTATTTATAACATTCAAATCAATTTAAATGCCAAATAGCTCAAAATAATTTATTAGCTATTTATTTTCAGGAGCGTTGCACTAGTAAATAGCAGCTACAGTCGTGCAGCAGCAGCTTTTCAGCAAAAAAAAAATTATTAAAAGTAAACAAGTTTCGAATTACCACTTGTCAGTATTTGCATAGTTTTTACGGAACACATTGAACAAAACAAACAAAACACATTGTTTTTAATTTAACATTTGTACAAATGTGCATACAAACAAAATATAATCAGATTTATTTCACGCATTTATAGAGAAAAAATTTTTAATCAGCCAGCGAACAACTTTTCATACAGCTTAAACGTTCAGAAATCTTTATATCATTAATTATAATATTATTTGGTAATAATTTAAAAATTTTTTTTTGATTTTTATTTTTAAATTTTCTAGATTATTTAAATCTTTTTATTTTTTTTTCTTTCATCCACCAAATTTTCATCAAATTGTAATTCCAACTTTTGCACAAAACAGAAAAGAAATGCTCGTTGGAAAAATCTCGCCTTGCCAACCGCTGTTTTTCTTTCATTTACATTAACGCTGTTTGTGCGCACTTGAAATGTTTTCAACAACCAATCGTTAGCGCGTCTCGTGGCGTACTGCCTGAACGTGTGCTGCTGGAATGTTATTAACGACCTGCCGGTAGTGCAGCCGAGTCTATAAAGCTGCTGGAGCAAATGCCGGTGGCCAGCATACAATAACAGAGCAACAGCGCCACAGCGTAGCCGACGACGACGTCAACGGCGATAACAGCACAACCAGTAGATTGACAGCGACAGAGCGTAGCCGACTGCCGAAGTGTTTTTTTACAATATAAAGACGAACTAATTGAAAGAAGAAAACACTAATAAAGTGGCAAAAGCGCAGCGGCAGTGATAACGAATCGACTTGTAGCTCCGACTGAGACTGAGAGCAGCAAATACGAGTATATATTTACAACTAGTCATGAATTGCGGTATGTAAGTAAAGCAATAGTTTTTCTAGCATCTCTATTTTATTAGTTTTTGTAGTGTTTTTTTTTCGTTTGCGCCATTAAGAGCGCATTCTGTGAAATTATTATAAATCATTTTATCAGACCAAAATGACAAATCGGAATTTTAGAAAATATCATTTTCAATTGTTGCTGAGAATTTAGCGAGAAATTGTTTTCGAAACATATATTTATATTTATAATCGCTCGGGCGCTATGATTAATGGGATAATTGTTTTTGTGATTATGTTCCAAAGAAAAAACTTCTGCACTTTAGAGTAAGAATTTGTAAATTAAAATCCATTTTTTCTAAGAAAATGTTGTTCTTTACCACCGTTTTTCACTCTTCATGTATATCAAATGGTATATTAGCTTTGACTCCAAGTAGTACTAGTAAGTTCTCGTAGCACCCAGAGTGGCGATATTGCGACTGATGTCCAGAGTATAATATGGAGGGAATACTTCCAAGCCTACTGAATGGCAATGAAAATGGACGACCTGGGAATGGCGTAGCCGATTCCCCAACCGATGGCTATGGAACAGTTGTTTCATTAACCGACTATAAAGTAGTTCGAATTACCGGTGATTGGCTTGAAAAACGAGCCAACGGGGGGCCGATGGTTCATCGTTTGAGCTGTTCAAATAAGGCGACGAAGAACTGATAAGGTGCACATATCAGCTTCTTTGCCAAATATGGTCGGAAGAAAGAATGCCCGACGATTGACAACAAAGTGTTCACTAGCAAATTCACAAAAAGGAAAAGTCTCCTCCTATCGAGCGTATGATGTAAATGTGTGCCCACCGCGATCAGACCTGCTAAATTCACGATTGGCCAGTTATTCGCCATGCGAAAAATCTTGAAAAAATAACCGTGAAAAATGGATCGACAAACGCTATCTTTTCGTCGTAGCACTGGACACCACGAAAAGAAGCTGCCGCTAAACGAGGTTTGTCTGAAGCTATGTCAGGATGGGGAAGGACTTCTCCGAGCCGTTCGATACCAAAAGACATTTCAGACAAGGCGATCCTTCATCTTGCGATTTCTTCAGTTTGATGTTTTAGAAAATAAAACCAGCTGCAGAGCTGAAAAGAGAAGATAAAAACTTCTATAAGAGTGGGCAACTGCTGGTGTGTCGGGTAATGAACGAGGACAATAACAACATCTGATTTCAAGAGAAATGCTTTGCCTAAGATTTATGGTACTCTTCGCGCTTGGAAAGGCAAATACCATGGCCAATAGAACAATGAGACTGATATAGTTCAGCGTATCAAAAGACAACGGCTACGGTCATGTGGTTCGTATAGACTAAAAAAATAATCTCGCTTTGAAAGCTTTCCAACCAGTACACGTCGGTGGAACAGGAGCAGAGAAAGACCCACACCCGATATTATCAGAACGACGAGTTTAATTGATTAAGCCATATTCGTCCGACCTCTTGCTTGTACGCAAAGTAGTACCTAAGCTTTTGGGGTTTTCAACAAAACTGGGCAAACAATCGTCTCTCGGAACCTGTCAGATCGGAGCTCGGAAGATCGGAAATATACGACCGATTTTTGAGATTTGAGGTTTTATTTCATAAATCCATCAAAAAAGCATCTAGATTAGCTATGCCACCTATACTACCCATCTGTGCCGTCCTGTGATTTTGTTGTTCAGAACCTTTTTTCGTTAGCCGTATAGGGTTTTTGAAATTATGTACTTGCCTTCCGCTCATTTCTTCCTTCTTCCAGCAGACTTGGTGTCTTTCATCTTGCAGAAGGTTTGCTTTTCTAGTTGCGATTTGTGTTAAACTTGGAGCTTTTTACATCTTATATATCCATGTCAAAGGCGGCGCTAGCATTGTTAAAAGCTTCCTATTCGTCAATGGATTGACTTGATGACAACAAAATAACCGATGCCAAGCAATTTACATCTGACGTATGCGGTCTATCGGAGAGTCTACGCGCTGTTACTCTGTACGCGCTGTAACTATTGAAGTTACAGACCCTTTCCATAGATTTCAGGGGAAAAGATGATGCACTGGTCGGTCCACATGATTTCAATACAACAGCTTCTCTATAAAAACCACCTTCGCCTGCTCGATGTATTCACCAAGCGAATGAAGGGAGTCACATCAAAGCAAGACTTAACTTTTAATGGGGAGTCATAATTTCTTTATTGTGATCTGCAGAATATGCTTTTGGGTTTATATGTATATAAATTCTTTTATTTGCCTATATAAATTTATACATGTACTAGCTGACCCCACAGGCTTTGTCCAGCGTGAAATTATGCTTCTTGGAAAGGGAATTTAGTTGAATTTAGTTTGGGTTGAAAATCATAATATCCACAGACTTCCTCTGGCGCAACACAATTCAGTCGGTTCTTTTGAAAATTTCATCGCAGTTCGGACAAGCGACGGGCATCGAACCAAATCGAATTCATGCGTGCGCACGGTATTCAATGTCAGACTCTTATGGAAAGGCTGCGCACTCGATATTCGAAGGAGGCAAACATTGTTGTTGCTGGCGTTATCGTTGAGCAGCCAAACGTTGTTCTCTTGTTTCATGAATTTTTTGAGCACGAACTTGTCTTTTTCTCAATCATTATCGCTCATTTAAAGCTTCGTGAGCCTGTTTCGATTGTCACGTACGATGTTCAATCATTTCAATTCGAGCAGATTCGCTCTGTAGTAGCATTTCCCTCTTCCGTACTGCCTGCTGTATAACTAAGTAGGTCCGTTGTACGTAGGGAACACCGACCGATAGTAGCGTGACCTCTTTGTGGTATCGTAACAAATTTCAATCTGTAATTTATCGCTTTGTGAGATTTGTTGGAACCAATTATATATTGTAAATATGTAAAACACACATAAAATTTTCACTGAATAATTTTCAATAATTTATCTTTCGAAAATGCAAATGACCGAAATTGAACGACTTAAATAATAAGTTCCAATGGAAATGAGGTTAGTTATATTCATCAACAAACAAAAACTGTTCGAATAAACAAATTAAAAAGGAAAAACAAATTAAAACAAAAAAAGAAAAATAATAAAAAAAAATTGTATGGAAAAGAGTCACTTTTTGGAAATTTCCAATTTCCCGACTTTTCCTCAGAAAAAGTAAAAAGATCTACAACGATGAATCTCTGAAAATTTTATCAAGATTGGTCCAGTCGTTCCTTGAGCCTTCGCGTCTTTAACAAACAAACAAAAATGCGTTTTTTTTTGTATTCGGATATTTTTGCAGTTCTTTGAATAAATCACTTGCTTTCATTGCTTCGTGCATAAATTTTGACAGTCACCAGCTTTTTACGAGCATCCATTTTGTTGTTGTTTCTCACATGAAAAGACAATAAAAGGATAGTTTCACCGAACAAAACGCTTCCTGCCAGCTGTAAATAAGAATAATAATAAAAACAACCACAAAACATAAAAAGAGCGACCGACAGATAATTTTTTGCACACTCATAGGCACACACACACTTACAGACATATGTATTTATACACATATGTATATGTTTGTATTATCTTTCATTCAGAAAGAAATGGTGAACTCGATAAGGTTGATTGAGCTTTGCATACGTTTGTAGACGTTTGTGTCTATGTGTGTGTTAAGTGTGAAGCCATTTGTATTTATATGAATACCCGCAATAATGTAGAGCAGAGCAAAGTGTTTGTATATTTACTATATACTAATTTTATTTGATATTTGAACTCGTGTTGTTATTAACCAAAACACAAAAAACAAAAATATTTGCAACGGCTGCATGAGTTCCATTTCGAACCCTTGTCGATGCTCTGACCCCGTTTGCTGTAGTGGACTAGTGTTTGAGTATGTTTTCTATTCAGTTTTTACCTAATTCTCGATCCTTTTCGTGTTGCTTAGACAGTTATTTACTCTATTGCTTTGTGATTATAGCTAATTAATTGGAATTGTTCTAGAAATGCAAATATAAACTATTCCAATACATGTGAGAAGAGTGTTTGTCTGGATTGAGGTTAAATTGTGATGGAAGGCATGAGAGGGATATTCGTGGAAAGGGAAGTTTTCACTTTCTGTCTATATTGCACAAATATTTGTGAGAGTATTAAAAGCGGAGGTATTAGTTGAGTGGGCAGCAGTGCGTAATATCATGCGTCAGGTTCTGCGTGCGAGCCCTACACGACCAACGTCAGTTAGAATAGAAAATTATTTAAAAAAAAAGTCAATTTTCTATTTTGACTTTGAGATTTTAAGCTATCCCAAGACAATTCTGATAAAACGCTCCTCAAAAAAGTCATCGGCCCTTCGTGTTCGGCGGTGGCTCCCTCTATTTTTTTTGCTATAACATCAATACACACACATTACGAATAGGAAGAGAAGCTGGACCGATATTGTGCAAATTATATATAGAACTAATAATAAGCCATTATTTCTGCTTTAAATTGAAGGCTTCATTTAGCACAGTCTGAATTAACCGATTTATGCCAAATATGCACCGGTTTTGTTCGATACATTTTTTCCACTTTGAAGGTAATGTCTCGTGGCTCTCTTATAGAAGTCCTTATACTTATTGGCAAAACAGTGAAGCATTCGATTTTCACAGGCTTCTTTTGGGTCGAAATTTCCTTAGCCAATTCATTTACCCTAGACAGCAGCAGACAGTAGTCACTTGGTGTGAGTAATCACTAAGCTCGATAGCTCGCTATCGTTGTGTGTGGTCTGGCGTGTTCTCGCTAAAAAAAAATTTCTCTCTTGATGATACAAATGGGGAAGTTCTAGGCGATTACTTCCTTCAGACAGTAAAATTGCTGAGAGTACAAGTACAAATTAAGAGTTTGGCCATAGGGTAACATCAGAGTGTATGATTCCTTGCCAACCCCACCAAACGCACAATAAAACTTTCCTAACAGAGAATCCTGGCTTGGAAACCGCTTGTGCCGGCTCACTGC